AGTTGTCATTCAAACTGACTCTCTTGAGGAATCGGATAAGTCGTATTGAGGCAGAGCTGCACAATCTGTCTAAAGCTGATAAAAAAGACAGATGTACGAGTAGATTGGACTTTTCAACAAGCCTCTGGATCGGGACCTTAATGATGAAAACTAAGTGAGGTTTTGAAGAAAGAGATAGATGAGGGAGGACAAGAAAGAAGAGTGAAAAAATAATTGGTATGTTTTTCAGGTGTCTAACTGGATGCACAGCTGTTTCTGTGAGTTTCCACATGTGCCACTGCAGTACGTTCACTCATCATGTGTCTTTCTGCAACTTTGAGATCATGCCTTGACTGCTTGTCAACATGACACCAGATATATCTAAATTATTTCTGAGTTGATTATGGGTTGTGCTGTTTTTGTTGTTCTTTTACATTAAGAAACATGTATCTGTATTTCACCGATTTTTTCATTTAGATTTTCTTTTTCCATGGGAGACAGGATTTTAACCAAGAACCATGACTTTAACCCTTTGATGCATAATGGTCTCTACAGTGGACAGGTACTCAAAATTGTTATTTATTTATTTTTGCTATTAAGCACAGCTGTTGAAGACTTTATTGCATTTGAGCCCCTCCATTTGGACTTCAGTAAGCCAAGCCAACACATTTCATGTTCAGAATGCACGCTGTCTACTGAGGTGGACATGTAATAAATTATTTGTAAATTAACAAAATGTTACTAAAAATATTTGTTGAAATTTGTTTCATTCACAACTAAAAATGAATGAAAAAAAAATGTTTAAAAAATCATGGTTGAAGATTTCATAATTCATGCATCAAAGGATTAAATTAAAGTATTATCTCAGAAAAATTGGACCAAAACACTTCGAGCTGCTGCCGTCAGGGAGGAGACTGCTGAGTGTCAAGGCCAGGACCAACGGACTGAAGGACAGCTTTATCCATCAGGCAGTTAGGAAGCTAAACTCCCTCCCGGCTCTCCCCCCTCTCCTCTCTTTTCCCCCCACAGTCTCTCTGAACTTGGTTACTCTTATTAAACTAAATGTTTATTTTCTATCTAACGAGAGTTTGAGAGTAACGTATTTTCAGTTCTCTGTATGTCCTGTACATGTGGCAGAATTGACAATAAAACTGACTTTGACTTTGACTTAGTAGTAAAATAAATATTGTTGAAAGTTCAATCATGTGACAAAATAGCAAATTAAGACTGTAGTCGCATTTTTATTGTGTATTAACAATATGTGATATACATGAACTGGTTATTGTTAGGGGGGAAATATTTTTTAAAGAGTCACTGTTATGTCTGATGCCTCGCTGAGGGGGATTCAGGACCACGGACAGCATCATATATTGCTCCCTGGAGCCAGCACCCTGGACAGAGGAACGCTGACTTTGGGCTTCTGCCCCTCCTCCTCCCTCCCTCCTGCCTGCTCAGCATAAGAGGGGAGCTGCCAGAAGCACAAGAGAGGGGAAGAGGGGAGAGCACAAATCAGTGCTGCTGCTTCTCGTCTCAAAGTGACTTGTCTGTTTAAGTGAACTGTATGTTCAGAGGAGCTAGTTGTTTGATATCTGGAAAGCTCAGGTCTGTCTTTGACCTACCCCTTCATTTTTTTTAGTATAGGCGGAGTAGGCTTTGTTTCAAAGTTGGTTTGGTAATAGCTTTGAGCCAAATTTTACTTATTCAAACAGCCCTTAGTTTTTTTTTTTAGATTAACAGCAATACGTCCATTTTCAATTTATAGTCGAGAGAGTTTGTTATTTAAACGTCTCGTGCTTCTTTAATTCTTCTTCCTAAGTGGCCTTGAGCTAATTTGAGTTATTTGCTCATTATTGAAGTATCCCTGAGAATCTTGAGTTTATCACTGAGGATATAGTTTGGTGTTACAATAACTGTTGAGCTTTGTTTCAGTTTGTTTCAATACAGTGAGTGAACTTTAGTTTGGGTTCTGGTTTAAAAAAAAAACGAATGTTTGTTTCTTTTGTCACACATGTTACGAAGAAAAGTCAAGATATTATTTTTGAAATAAAGATGGGATTTGAAGATAAAGCCAAAATACAAACAAAAAATGAAAATGTTTTAGATATTTTGTGAGTATTTTAATTTGTAACTTTAAGCCTCTTATTGTGAAGGATTAAAATAAATTCTGCAGCCAGAAATAAGACCACACTTCAAAATTATTTATGTCTTGGATTATTTTATACTTAATCATAAATAAGCTCCCTGCAGTCTTAGATTATTATAATAAAAAGAAAATTTTTGTTTACATCTGTGGGCTTGATTTCCTTTATAGAACTGCATTTCCTTCTGTAACATTAAGCCCGTTGTCACTATCGAAACTTCCAGGCCATCAAACCCTTGATAGAGCCAACGTCTATATTTAGACACTTCCACTTGCATCAGAAATAATGTCAGTGTGCCTTTTCACAAACTCTTAGAATTCACCCAATCATCAGAGATCAAGCTAGTCATGTCACCATTCGACCAATCAGTGCGGGGTTATAATGCACCCATCATTTGTGTGTCTGCAGGGTCAGAAAACTGCTCGGCCTCCTCGTGTGTTTACAGTCAAATCTCTAAAACTAACAATGCTAGGTTTATGAAACTCACTTCACAAGGTTGACTAGTTCTGCTCAATAAGCATAAATGTGTTGTAAATGGTAAACTCAATCAAGTTGGTGAAATCTTAGCATAAAAATCTAATTTGCCATATTTGAACATTTGCCCTGAACAAATAAAAAAGGAGAACATTTTTAGGTAAAATCTCTAGTTTTTTTAGACTTAATCTTCATTTCCATGGTAACAGTAAGAATAACAATAATGATGTTGAATACATTTTGGAGTTTTAAATTTAGATTTCTGTGGAAAATGGAGGACAGTTATTGCGCTAACCAATCTCGCCATCAGTAATGATGATGATCAGGAGGAAGATGACATTGAGGCAGGTCCTCAAATTAAAAAAATTCTAAAATAATATAATAATCTATATTTGATCATAAACAGTAACTATTGTTCAATAACTTTTCAAAAATGTTCTACGGTGATCTATTTTTTGATTGTTAAATAATTGATATATTCTGTATTTTTGAACAGTGATATAATGCTCTAAAATTAGCTGGATTATTCTAAAGTGTCTTATAATTATCTACATTGTTCAAAAATAATATAAATTTAACATGTGCATATATTTTTATTTTGGTATTTCTTTTACCAGAACAGAACCAACGCCATATGTGATCACATTGTTTTATCTGACTATCTGCATGAAAATACACATTTTTGAAAATTATAACAACAAAAATACACTGATTACACACAACAATAACACCCTGGGGTTGAATTGTTAAACGTTAGAGTGCCCCATACAGGGTTATGGGTCCGCTAAATACCTGAATTGGGTTAGGTAGTCGGAAATGGCTGAGCAGGACGTGTGGTTAACTCATGTTAATTGGTTGTAACAAAGTGGGGAATTAAATCGACCCAAAGAAGAAGAGTTAATGGTGAAGCGGAATGGAAGTAAACAAAAATAGGTAGCATTGATGCTGTGTCGTGAGGTCTATGATGGCAATAATCAGATCAAAAAATGTTGCTATGTTTCCGTGAGTTTTATCGTGCTCATCGTGCCCACCCTGATGGTTTCGGTGACTTCCCAAAAGCAAAAATGCAAAATGGTTAAAGGAACCCAAAAAACAGAATCTTTTACTATTTACACGTACACAAAAAGTTCTTAACTGGGCATGTAGTCAGAGCAAACATTTCCCCCAAGCAGCTCGTTACCCACAGCTGAGTCCAATCAGGAAACTTGCAAGAGCTGGGCTGAAGCTCCTTCCCCTTCAGCAGGCACCAAGTAACTGACATCTGACTAACTCAGGCCTAGTCCACACGTAGCCGGGGATCTGCCAAAACGTAGATATTTTTCTACGTTTTGGCCTGTCATCCACACGGAAACGGATCTTTTTAAAAACTCCGGCCAAAGTGAAGATCTGCGTTTTCTCCGTTTTGGGTGTCTGCGTGTGGACAGACAAAACCGGAGTTTTAAGGTCCGCAACGTCACTTTCCGCGACAAAACAATGCTGACATCACGTGTGCGACCTGTGTTTACACTAGCCGACATCATGGATGCCCTCAGAGCTGCGCTCGCTTTATCAATTGTCCAAGCACTTTTTGCTTGTTTGTTTTTGTAAGCGGAATTACTGCTCCTTGTGGAAGACCACAGACGAAGGACGAGGTTAAGAACGGGGGAAGTACTGCCGCCTACAGGTCTGGCATGTCCTTAACAACGTATTTATCCGGGTACGTGTGGACAGTTTTTTTTAAAACGAGTTGGTGTGGATGCAAGTTTTTGGAGGCGCTGATATTCATTAAAAAAAACGGCTACGTGTGGACTAGACCCCACTTAGACAACCTCCTTATATACCCCAAGCTGCTCCCACAGAGAAGGAAAATGACTAATTTGAAGAACATGCAGTTTACAATGCCACTGACCATAAGAAAATAATTTGAAATAGTAGATTTGTCTACTTTTAAAGAGCAAACTCCATATGAGGACCAACTAAAGAGGTAGAGTAACTTATGCTCCTGTTTGTATGGATGGGTGTTTGTATGTGTATCATGCCTGATCTGGCCAACCCCACTTCCTCTCATCATCACATGCTGCTTTAAAATCTCTGTTTCTAAACTCCAAATGCCCAAAAACGTGGCAGAAATGTTTCCACAACATCGTCATTTTGAACCCTTTGCAGTAAAATTATGGCACACATTGACAAACTAATACTTTTTAAATGTCATTAATTGCCTTTGACACTTTGGCCATTGGTCAGTGATGTCACTGATCTCACTGCCAAAACTGTTGTGATATGCTGGCATCTCAGCAAAGTTCTGAAAGGGCCAATTTTGTGTGGAGACACAACGACTGAGAGGACCAAGCTATTGTATTTCCCTCATCACCCCCTCACCCCCCCCCCCCCCCACCCCCCCACCCAGACAAACACAGATTGGCTCACTGCTGGTCCTGGGTATGGACTGATGTTGCAACCTTCCTTCCAAGAAAGGTTCAGGCTTCTGATGAACTCCAAGTAGAAAGGATGGCTCCTGTTCAGCATTGAGAAGCCCACGATGTTGGACTGCTCATTCACCACATCATGTAGCTGGAGCAGAGGGAAATCCTAAAATCAGACAGCAGAAAAGAGCACACAGGGATAAAGAATAATAGTTTGTCAGTGGTTTGTTTAAAGCGTGGCCGCCAAGACATGCAGAAAAACTGACCTTTCAAGACAACAGTGGGAAGAAAAAACATGAAATGAGTGACAGATCAGAGACAAGGAAGAATGAAGATTAGAATTGGAACAAACGAAGGGCTTGATCGGGGTTTTTCTTTTGCAGGCTACACAACACCAAGCTCCGTGTTAAAATTCTGAGCAGGAGAGTAGTGAGGGGAAAAAAAAGATGGACATCAAAAGCTGGGAAATTTCAAAGAACTTCAAATAGTCCTTGAAGACAAGTTGGTGTCACGCTGAGCTTCTTAGCTGAAACAAACTCAAATCAAACTGTTTGCTCTGCCCTCACAGGGGTTGTGTTACGCAGCAGATGCTGACAATGAAATATTTAGTTTGAGTTGTCAGCAGTTGAGAATGCAGGTAGGTGAACCAAACACTGCACCTGCTGATTTGTCTCCTAATAACAACTTCAGGAGACACGGGGTGTCAACACCATTAAGGAGCATTTAAACGAACATTGTTGCTGTTTGCTTCCTCCCAAATTGTCTCCTTTTTTTTCTACTTTTGAGTAGCATTGTATGGTGTTCAGTAGTAGCATCACTGTATTCAAACTCACTAACACACACTAGCTGCTGCCATCTGGCCCATCACCTAAAATATCCAAGTGCTACAGGCAGCCAGCAATGTACAGACACTTTGGGTATGGGTAACCGAGTTACCTAATTTAACCCTCATATTACCTTTTAATTTTCTAACAGTTGTCACGCTGTGAGTGGGGGTGGTGGTGGGGGGGGTTAGGACCCAAAATACAGAACCAGGGAGACACGAGGCAGGAGTTGGACTAAACGTAAAGTCTTTTATTAGGAGTGATTGTCCAAAAGTAAATTTAAAAGGCAGGAAGCCAAAACCGAAAATCCAAAAATTCTAGAATGAAAAAAAAACAAAAAAAAAACAAGAGACCTAGAGACAGCCAAAGAGCTCACTTAAAGAGCTGACCTGGAGACCTAGAGACAACGCTGACACAAACAATGGACCAACAACACATTGACAGGGTTTTATACACAGGGGCAGGATGATTGGGAGATGAGCTGCAGGTGTGGGGAGAGAGAAACCTGGAGAAATCAATCAGGGAGAGGAAACTAAGCTGATGAGGGGAAATAAAACATGACCTATGAATAATAAACAAACCTAAAGACTAGAGAAGAACAAGACAAATAACTAATGATCTAAGGAGGAAAGAACTAATAAACCGGTGGGGAAGGGCCTAGAAGAAAACCTGAACCTCAGAAACTACAGGGAAAAATTTGCTAGATAAGATAAATACAAAGAAAACTAAAGAATAAGTGAACCTGGGAAAACCTGGTGGGAGCTGGAGACCTAAAGTGGCACAGAAACCTAAGGGGAGAACCTGGAGTGGGGCTGGGGAACACAAGGAGACACATAAGGGGAACCTAGAGGGGGGCTGGAGAACACATGAGGGGAACCTAGAGGGGGGCTGGAGAACACATGAGGGGAACCTAGAGGGGGGCTGGAGAACACATGAGGGGAACCTAGAGGGGGGCTGGAGAACACATGAGGGGAACCTAGAGGGGGGCTGGAGAACACATGAGGGGAACCTAGAGGGGGGCTGGAGAACACATGAGGGGAACCTAGAGGGGGGCTGGAGAACACATGAGGGGAACCTAGAGGGGGGCTGGAGAACACATGAGGGGAACCTAGAGGGGGGCTGGAGAACACATGAGGGGAACCTAGAGGGGGGCTGGAGAACACATGAGGGGAACCTAGAGGGGGGCTGGAGAACACATGAGGGGGACGCAGACGAATACAACGGTTTTGGTGTTTGAGCACAAAAAATGTATGCATAAAACTTCTTATAGAATTATTATGTACAATTTCATATGTCCCAATTTTTTTACATGAATTTCATCCTTGGCATCAGCCCTAAAAAAAATACAATAAAAACTTGATTGCCACGTTTGTGATCAATATCAGAATTGTGAAAAAATGTAAAGAAAAAAAAATCTATTAATGTTTGGTTTTATGTTCAGATGACCTGTTCTGGGGTTAAACTGTCATAGCCCTGGAGTGTCACAAATGTGCATACAAGTAATTTTTGTGTAATTTCATATTTTCTAAACAAGTCACAATTTTAACCTTAGTGTGCAAAACATGAGACACAATACTTCCTCATAATATATTCCATCACTCCCAATATTTTTACATGAATTTTGTCCTTGGCTTCAGTCCTCACAAAATATCATAAAATATTTTTGTGTTCCTGAGATTTAACCCTTTTATTTCCCCCCTTATTGTCAGGTGCATGATCATAGCTAGAAATGTAAATTAATGCAAATTATATAAAACAATTTGTGTGTTATGTCCAGAAAATTTGTTTTGTGGGTGAACTTTCAACACATTGGAGTGTTATTAATGGGCATAAAAAATATTTTCATGGATATTTTTTATTTGAATGCAGTGTTAGTTATTGGCCCGGTGACCACAGGGAAAATGCACAATCTAGAAAACATTTAAAAATTGAATCTGCAAATGGCCTGGGGAACCAGACAGAACAATAAAAAAATATATATGCTGATTTTGGGGCTTATTAGAAAAAAATAATTTACATCAAAGTCAATGGCACAGAAAATGCACCAAAACAATTAACGTTACAGAATTATTTAACCGTTATATTGAATGGAGTACAGCCATTTTTAAAATTGTTTTCATAATTCCACCCAAAACACATAACCTCCCATTAAATTAGATAAACTGCATTAGCAAAGCCGAAATTATTCCCAAAAGTACACCTGTATGTGCAATAAATAAATAAATAAATACATACATAAATAATTATGCACTAAATCCTTTTAAGGGTTAAAAAATAACTAAATAGATTATTAGTTACTGTAACACCTTTGCATCCAACACTGGTCATATAGTGGGAGAATCGTGACAATTATTTGCTAAATAAGAAAAAAATTTAAGCAAAATTGCAACGAGACATTTTCCACATTTGCATTGTTGTCATTGGGTTGCTTTCATGTCATGATCTGGCTACTATAAATCCTTTTGCAGAAGGGTTGTACAGTTTTATTTTTTTATGTGTTGTCATATCTGCCCTCACTTTTTAACCTGTTCTTATTTATTTTAGGTGTTGCTCGGTTGTTTATGTGTATTGCTTTTATCTGTAGTTGAATTGTTTGCATTGTTTTTAACCTGTAACACTTTTGTCCATGTTTTATGTTCAGTGACCTTGAGAGTCTTGAAAGGCGCGTGCAAATAAAATGTACTACTATTGTTATTATTATGTATCAATTCAATTGACTTCGTAAAATTGCACACATTTTCTTGAATTTTCAGTCACAGCCCTGTGAGATATTGGCTTAGATTTCAATGCATGTTGAATTTTCGCATTGTAACTTACTATAGACACTAATGAGCCACAGATTTATGACCACTGGCAGGCAACATTAATAACACAGCAAATTATGTTCAAAACAAATTAACCGCATTCTGGCGGTACAGGGGATGCTACATTTCTCTGCTTTTGTCGGATGTCTGCTTCCTGTGAGTCTAAAGCCACATGTGGTTTGTAAGCCCTCAGAATTGGCTTCCTGACAGCTTTGATGAAAAGTGAAATTAACTTTAAATTGAAATTCAAACAAGTAAGTCTAAGTGTATTTTTTGCCTTACCTACATGGAATAAACACACAGCAGTTTTACTAATATTACAAGTTGGTTGGATTACCTGTAAAAACGTATTTTTTTGTTTTCATTTTGTACATAAGTGCCCGTCATTTATTACCTGATGTTTTACTAAATGTGCCTAAAATTCAGTGATTGTTTACTTTAGCTCCCTCCCCAATTAGAACCTAAATACGCATCTTAAATCTTCAATGAATTTTTGCATAACACATAAACATGAAGAAACAAATTGTCAGACTGTAACATCTTTATTTTATTCATTCTTTATTTAACCAGAAAAGTCTCATTGATATTATAAACCTAATTTTTACAAGAATCTTGGCCAAGAGGCCGCAAAAGTTACACAATTACTCTGTTATACAGGGAGTCAGCCTCAAGTGCTCTCAGTCTGGTTTTAAATGTATTCAGGCACATAAGCTTGGCTCGTTTCTAGTTTTCCTGCAACCTGTTCCATGAAGAAGGAGCAGAGTGAACATAAACCCTTCAGCCCACTTCTATAGGAGCAAAGGGAACACAAAGTAACAACTGATCATTTGCACACAGACTGTGAGAAGTTACACTTCTCTTTGAGATTAAGTTCCAGATGTGGGGAGTAGTCCAAGCATGGCCTTATAAATAAGTGTGTCAATGTCCCAACCTCCTGTTGGACAAATAAAGCTATCTCACTTGAGAAAACCAGTTGTAATGATGGGCCAATGGTCCACAGTTAGCAGTAAACTTTAGCAAGGCTTATGAAGACCCTGTGCTGAGGCATTCGCATACAAAATGTCTCCACGATCCAGAATAGACGAAAATGTTGCAGCAACTATCCTTTTTTTTGACTCAAAAAGAAAAAACACTATTTATTTCAAAAGAAGAAGCCCAGTGAAAACTATCTATGTGAGGCTTGAAGGAGAGGGGCTCATCGAGTCAGACATCAAGATATTTGTAGGAACGGTCCACTTCTGATATTTCCCTCAAGAGTGGTCACTGAAGTGGCCTTTACTTATGGTTTGAAAACATTAGTAGCATTAGTAGGGGATGTTCCAAAACACAAATGATCGTGTCATCAGTGTAAAGCATAAACATAACCTGTAGGTGAAGGAATACCCAAAATCTTACATAAAATGTAATGTTGGTTGTAAGAAGTAGGTAGATTTTGTTGCTTTGTGGAAAAAGGATATTAAAAATAGCTCAAGTCTGCAAAACCCCTGGTCACTGTATCAGACCAGTCCCAGTCCCTTTGATTAGAACAGTGTCAACAC